CGTTGCAGACAGATAAACATTAAATTTCCCCTCTACCTTCCCAACTACTCACCTACAACTGTGGTTCACCCACGTAAGAAGTATGTCGGTCTTTTTTTATATACCGATTTCCCCAAAACTACATACAGTAAAATACAAAAGTTGACAGTTGCCCTCAATTAAATTTACTGGTTACTCTACAATACCACATTTGTCGTAAAACAAGCGACTAACATTTTTAAGCAAGTACACATAGTAAAATAATGAATACAATTATTTCAATTATAGTACAATCGGTACGGACAGTATATTGTCAAAAAAAAAAAAATTAAAATAATGAAAATATTGTTAAGATGTCAGTATGACATGCGGATAATATTTACTGTTTAAATATACTTATCGGCTTTCGAAGATCATTGTGATCATTACTTGCAATTACATACCGTACACGCAATTTTCTTTGTTGTCCGGGATTATCCGTTTTGGTAAAACGTTTCTCTTTGTACTTTACGGTGAGGGCAACTGGTACATCCAGTTGAGGGTAACTGGTATGTTTGGTTGAAGACGATAATAGGCGTAGTTTTTACATGGCGAAAACAGCCGCTGAGGGCAACTGGTCAACACCCCTATACGCATAGTTAGCCGTTTTATTAATTTAAAAAAAAAATGTTCGCGGTATTGTTTGTACAGTAAGTATTCGTTGCGGGCAAACAATAGATATCGGAAACTGGTTACCTGGCGGCCGGTAAATTTTAGGTTGTAGTACGGTACGACCGGGAATTTTTAACGGTTTGGGACGTAGTGACGTAGGGACGTAACAATCACTACTCGCAGAGCTTTTTTCCGTTATACCTCGTACCTATGTAACCCGACACTGAGAATTTAAAAGCCAGATTCGAAAAAAAAAAAAAAAATGAATTTTCATTTAATATATCAAGTTTTTTTCGTCTTGTTCTTTTGTCCTCTGCTAGAATATATAATTTCAAGGTAAAATTACTGAATAAACACGCGCAGTTTTGTTGTATTTATAAATCAATCGGGGGAGGGGTAGCGGAGGAGATTATAACCCCTAACACTTCCCCTCCGCGCAGATATAATATACGGACAGATGACTGGGTATATTTAGATATATATAGACAGATGACTGGGTATATTTATATATATATATTTTAAAAGCTTCCGGAAAAAACAACGCACACCGGGAAACGTGATATCGTGATAACGCGACGGAAAATAATGCAAATACGGATGTTCAACGATACCGTGGCGCAAAGACGAGACGATCGACGGCAATGACGTCACGCGCGTCGAATCCGTCGGACACGGTCCTCCGCGCGTCACGTCGTTGCGGACGGGACGGGGCGCGACGGCGGAATTTATTACACTGTCATTATTGAGTGACGCGTAATATTGTATAACCGGGGTGTATCGGTCGGCGAGTGCGATATTAAAAAAAAAAAAAAGAAAAAGAGGAACGCACCGAGAAGCGGCCGGCCGGCCGGCGCGAGCGGGCATTTCGGAATCCGACCCGGGCGAAATTAAAAGACGTTTTTTTTTTTTTTTTTTTAATATTGCCGCGCCGAAATTCGCCGCCGAGCCGGCCGGTGTGCTGGTTCGCGGGTCTCCACCGCCGTTCCGCCCGGGATCGGGCGCCCGCGCGGTAAGCGCGACACGGTGACCGGAACTGTTGTGTCACGCGCGCGCGTTCGTTTATCGCCGCGGACCGCCGACCGTGCGGTTACGCACGTTGTTCGCGCGGATTTTTTTTTGATTTTTCACTCTTTCGGCCGTTGCGCGCGAACGGTTCGATCCCCCCTCCCCTCCCCCCCCGAGCGTCGTTTTCGCGGTTCGCGTCTGTAAACCGCTCCGTTTCCGCCGGAAACCTCGCTACGGCCGTACGTATTCGGCTGCGGGTTCTGGTTGGTAACACTCGCAGGTACGTTGCGTTACGGGAGACGTTGTTCCGGTTTTCCCCGTAGTGACGGCGAAAAGCCCGGAATATTCTGTACCACCTAACCGTTCGGAAACAATCAACTATTGATTATAATAAAACCAGTTTCCCCCTTAACCCCGTCCGTGTGACAATGTCGTAAATGTAAAAAAATACAATTAAATTTCCGTATTTCGTAAACAAATTCTCTGTTCGAGACCGTCTTTAGGGATTCAATTTCTTATCTAAATACTCAGTCGGAACCGGTATGAAATTACCGTGAAATCTTTAGCGGAATCGGTCTATTGGTTTTTTTAGACTATAAACTTCAATCGTATATACACATTAACATATAAAAACGTTTATTCGTGTACCGTTATTTCGAATGTTACGGCTTAAGATTACGACTTAGATTTCGCTCGGATGGTTCTTGAATACACTACAAAAGGATTACGAATCGGATAATGTGAAACTATTATGGAGTTTATAATATTTATAACACTTGCGTTTTTCGAATTCTCTGATAAAAATATTTTAAATCTATAGGGATTGAAAACGTAGATGTAGTTGATATTTAATTTCGTAACATTATTTTTTTCACTTCTCAAGTTAAGCATTAGCCACAAGTCTTTGGCCAAACCTGCATATTAATATCATCAAGTTAATCATTCATAAAATATAGTATTAAGTTAAAGTTTTGAATTTCGCAACTTTTCCAAAATTTTAGACAGTCGTCTTTACTATTCGTGACAAATAGATCAACAAGTTTTAATTTGTATAATCATAATTCTGTGCGAAATTTGTCTTTTGCTCAAAACATGCTTACCAAGAAGAACTCTCTGACCTTATAGAGTGATCAATTTTGTGCCACACAGATAAAAAAAAAAAAATAAAATAAAAATAAAAATGTCGAAAATCAGTCGTTCTCAAATCATAACTAATATATCGTTTAGACGTATAGTTTAAAAAATCAAATCCTAGTGTGACGAAAAGTCTTTCCAATATTAAAATATTTTCTTGAAAACGGTTTACTCTACGATGGTGCATGAAAGGTGTTTCAGTTAAGATTGATAAAAAAAAAAAAAAAACGTGTCACGTACACAACTTTTTGATAATTATAATATTTTATAACCTTTGATAATTATAATATAATATATAGTTGTATGGAAAAACCGTAACTATTAAACACAAAAATAAAAAATAACGATTCAATTTCAAACGATTTTATACGCATTTGCCTTTGACTTTCCAATTAAATTGCATAATAATGTAATATGCTTTGAAATGTACCGGCATGCGTATTTATTTATAATATTATTTGAAAAATCTTATTTATAAAATGTTTTTTTTTTTTTTAAATTTTATTTTAAGAGCTCTTTAAAAATTAAACTTTTCGAATGGTTAATAATCATTTGTTCTTTTTTTTTTTGTCCTCATTACTTTAATGATTTTTTAAACATCTACATTTATTTCACTCGTATTTTACAAATAAAGAAATTTTGTGAATGTCAGTTATATAGACTGTATGAACACAATATTCTTTATCGTTTTCCTAAAGATTCACTGAATATATTAAACATAATGTAATATTACATTATTATTGGATATTTGTGAGTGTATATTCAAATATAATCGGTAATTTTGCGTTTTGACTTTTTTTTTTTAGCGTCTGAGCTCAGCGAGGAATGTATTGATTTTATTAGGATGTCCAGGATGCCTGTTTACATTTGTTTTACTTCAAACTATTATTAACTGTTCTATATTAGATATCTATGCCATTTGCTCAAATCGAAAATTAACGAGCAGGCTTTTTTTTTTTTTTTAACATTAAGATTTAGTCGGTACATTGAGCAAGTTATTTTTTAATATTCCCAGAAGTTTCTTAATAATTGGAAAAACTTGAAAAACAAACATAAAGAAAAAACGGGCATAATTATGACAGTATTAATTTCATTATTTTCGATTTTGTTTTTTTTGTTTTTATATTCGGCTAATAATAATCTTAGAGACCTGCAATAATTACAAAATACGCAATTTGATTTTTCTAGACTTAGCAAAACGTTCAAAACATTCTGGTGATGTTTATTTATTTTTAGGCAATTTATATTTAATTATTTTTTTTATTTTTTATTTAAATTTATGTAGATAAAATGTTTTGGTTAAACAGAAATAATCAAATATTTATTACGAGGTCCATTATAAATTGTACTTAGTGATAAAGTTTTAAAACTTGACGATGTCCGTAAAAATTACATTAACCTTTACAACCGAACATCGCTCAGAGTGTTATATTTGTAGTTATTATGTAGTTTAAATTGAGTCCCCTTAGAAAGATATATGATGCTACGAGCTTAGCGAACCCGGGACCTTGAGCTGATGGTGATTCCAGTAGGCATATGGTATTGTTTCTGTTGAATAGAGGAATTCACTTTAAAGTTAACCTCTACAAGTCCTAAGCAGTATATATTTCGGACCTTTATACCGAGGGGAGGGGTTATCGTTAATTTTCAAGGAAGTATGCCAAGCTGGATCTAGAAATGTTTACACTTGAGAAAAAACTAAGAAAATAGGTTCAACGATGACTTTTTTGTAACTCGTTAAAACTAATATATTTTAAAGTATGTTTTTAAGGTATATTTTATGGCATGCACGTTTTTATGAACCGGAAAAGTGGAAAGCAAGTACACAGATTCGCTCTTCGTTCAGCTCAGAATCCAAAAGTTAATAAAATTATATTACTGAGCATTTTGTATGTAATATTGTAACTGATGGTGAGAATAACTGCTGCAGATATACAAAATAATAACATAATGAAAACCTTAAACAAAAACATCTCAGCGTGCATATATTTGTCGAATATAATATAAGGGGGTTTGGTAATAATTCTCTCAACCAGGCATTTGTTATATTATTATTACAACAACGACCACGCCAAAGTTAGATTTGAGCGAACAAACTATTTAAATTTTATGTTTTCCGGACCCATTGTCTGGTGTCTGGTGTAAAAATAATGTATTCACGTTGTTCTCGTTTACACTCAGGTTTTTCCTGCAGTCGCCGGCCAATCCCGACCTACAGTATATCATTTTCTTCTGTCATACGCAACTTACAGTCACCACTCTGCTGGGATTTATATTCGCCAGTAAGGTAAGTCATTGAAATGTCTGTGAAAATAAAAATGCAGCGTTGCGCAATAAAATATGTATACAAAAATAAACGCTGAAGAAGTGTTTGTACTTATCGCAACGCATTGAGACTAACTACTACGTTTATAGAATAAAATTGAAAACAATTTACTAATTTTCTTGTTATATTCTGCGATATATTTTTGATTTTAAGAGCGAATACATAGATACTGAGATTATTACAATATCGATTTAATACGATTCTGTGTGTAAAACTTACTCGATTAATTATAATAATATAATTTCATATTTTATGGTACACAATTTTAATATTGCCAAGTAAAACATTATTATAGGTGGCAATCGTTCACAATAATAAATTATTATTTTTAAAAAAAAAAAAACCTGTTCAACATTCGTAACTATTTCCAGGCGTATTTAGTGATGCGAGGAGAGGAAATACACGACGAAGACGGACATATAAAAAGCATCAAAGTCACCGGCTGCAGTAGGATGTTGAGTAAACAGACGAAAAATTCGAACAAAGCGAACAACTCGACGTTCGGTGGCTTAGAAGAGTCGAGTACCGATTTCGTATTGACGGAAACGGACGCGCAAGTGAGTTTTAAGATGTTTAAATTTGATTATTTTGGATTATAATTGGAATATCGACCGATTGTGAGAAACCAAGACCTAAAATGTATTCAGTTTGCAGGGTTCGTAAGGTGAAAGCGTATTCTGCGCTTTTATATAATAATAGATAGGCCACACATCAATAAAATATATACTGCATACAACATATTATTATTATGAGGGTGAGAGGCTAGAAGTCGAGCATATTTTGTATTTTCTGTGCTCAAACGGACACACATTAAATTCTGTTAGACACTTAATAGAGTAAGATTTTTTTGTCTACTATAAAATAAATGGTAAATAATTGAGTTATTGGATTATAGAAAATATTCTCAAGAGTGAGCGAGGGGTTGTCGGAGAAAGTCTAAAAATTAAGCCGAACGATTGGTCTACCTGTGAAGTTGTTTTAAGGGGGCGAGGGGTGCAAAAGCAGTGATAATTTACTAGAAAATTCCTCATTAGTATAATTCAATTTTCAATGGGTTTATAAACGATTTCATAACGATTCTTGATAATAATATTTATATACCGATAAATTAAAATATAAAAATAATATCTGTATTAATTTCTATATTATTAATAAGACGTAATATAACAAAGAAAATCGACGTAGATACTTCGTGTCATAGGTGTGCCACTGTTTTAGGGAAAAAGTTGAAAGGTACAATATAATCATAGCTAGGGCACGGATTTATATGCACATCAAATTTAAAAAAAAGTGTTTAAAAACATTAAAAAAATCACTTAAAAAATATTTAAAAGTGCAATAAAGGTAGTACTAGAACAAGTTCAATTAAAAATAAACGCCAAAAAAACCAAAATATTACTAGTAGATAAACGTGGTAAAGAAATGCAGAGAACTATCAGCATATATGACACAGCTATTTAAGAAGTTAAACCATTCTGCTAGGTAACCACGTCACGCAGGACAATAAATACGCAACATAAATAAAAAGAAGATTAGCTTTGGTTATGCAAGCATTCATTAAGAAGCCAAATCTCTTAAAAAGCAGACACTTAGCGATTGCAATTAGAAAGGTATTTATTAAAACGCATGTTTGAAGTGTAACGTTACGTGGTAGAGAGCCTTGGACTTTAAGCACCCTAGACAAAAAGAAGAATAGAAGCATTAGAGATGTGGACACGGATGAAAATGATGAACGGGTATTCCAGATGTACGCATCAATCGAATTACGATCGATATCGCGGAGTCGAGCGCACTTAGGAATTTCCACACGTACTCGAGCCGCATTTAACCGGGGGCTTAAAGGAAATTACCGAAAATCACGGCGACGGTAAATACGCCGAGAACGCGTTTATGGTGGCTGACTACAATACATATTATTATTATTATGATTATTATTGTATACCTATTATAGTAACGGCCGCCGTCGTTGTCTGTACACGAGATTAAGCGATACGGGTCGACTCCATCGTAATCATATTTGAACATAATACGCATAAATAGGCATGTACGACGAGATTACAATATCGGATTAAAGATATAGACAACGTGTTGTAAGTGTAACGGGTATCCCTAATAACGGGTCATCGAGTTTACAGCCGTTTTGCCGAACGACAGCCGAGGTCCCGACGATCCCGTATGGTATTATAAATAATGTAAGACATTACCTTATATCGTATTACGATTAAAACCATCATCGCGGGTCCACGGATTCCAAGCGCACGCGCGCATTTGCCGTATGACGAGTCCTAAGGTACTCTGTGCCACTGGTATTTTGAATTCTACGTCTGTATACCGCGGGTAGGTATAGCGGCTCATCCGCGGGCGTTCCGCACATTTAATATTGTTACTCTCCGGCTGAGTGCAGAGCTGGAGGATCTATACACGAGACATTTTGTAAAGCACGTTATTTTATGCTGTAGCTTGGATGATTTTTTATATACTTTGTGTTTTCATCAAAATATGCGTGTTTTATTCATTTAACCTGATTTATCTTAATTTTAAACATTTAGATAACTTATTGAAAAACGGAAATGTTTTTAATAAATCAGTATCCTTTAAAAATTACATTTTACAAGGATCCCCTTAAAATAAAGGGTCCATTTACCTTACACCCGTCCAGAAATTTGCTGAATCGTTGAAGTGCGGTATGCCTTTGTCGCTGTATATCACGCGTGAGACAGACAGAGAAGACAAATGTTAGTGACGAGGTCCTTTAAAGGAAATTACAATATAATTAATACCGAACGTCGATTACGGAAGATGTACTCGTATTTACTTTGATGACTATGTTTCTGATAGTCGTATATTATATAGGATCTTCCAAATTTCATATTGTAATCAAATTTCAGTGGTGCATTATTTGTTTGGTGGCACGGCAAGCGGCTTTTGAATAGTGCTCCTCTAGTAATTGTTTTGTTACAAATAACCTTTAAAGATTAAAATTCAAGTGAACTTGATGTCGGTTTTTTTCCCCATATACGGAATGTGTGGAAACAAATTTGAAAAAATTCTAACTTTTAAGTGAAGTTATTTAAAATGGTTTTAAATAATAAAATAATGGTTGGAAAAAGAATCAAAATCAAATTAATCAACATTCTCGTGATTAGATAATCGCTGTTTAACGTTAAAGTAACCACCCTGTAGTCGGATAATATATAGTTATTTCATTATATTTTTACGTGGTTAAGCGATTTTTAATGCGTTTCAAACACGCAAAGTTTTGAAACTCTATAAATTTATATATTATATGTTATTTTTTATGTTTATACATATTATATATTGTATATTGTATAAACTCATATGAATTAAATAATTATGTAACGTTATTTTTACGTGAGTGATTTTATTAAATACTCCTTTTTTCTTCAAAGTTTATACGTGTACTTTGCAATTTATAATAAGTTATTGCCGTTTAGCTGCCCAAAATAGTATAATTTAAGAATATTTTTAACTTATACGAACAATGATGATAACATCTTCAAAAAAAAAAAAAACCATTATTCTTTTAAAAAAACGTTGTTTTTTTTGTACCTATTAGACTTTTTTTTTTTTTTATCTTTACTTATTATTCTTCAAGAAATCAATTTTATACGTATTCATTGTATACCTAATCGTATTCACATCTTTGCGTGTACTACGTTACGAAATACTCGAAAATCGTATTTGAAGACAATCGTTCATCTGTGTATATCTGAATTTATTTACTGATAATATCGTGTATAAAGTAAACAAATAATATATAAAAAGTCGTAATATTTTATATTTCTGTGTATTACATCCAGTATTTTTCATCTCGGTGTTTATTTAAGATGTATATTGCATATTACGAGTATTGTGTTTTATGTATACACGTTTATTTTATTAATAAATGCAAAATAGTTATCAGAGATATTCAGTCAAGTTAAAGTTAAGTTAACTAAAATAACAAACTAGTAAGTCAAATTAATAAATTTAAATTAACTTAACTCGTTAATGCCTAGCCTTATGCGTTAATGTTGATGACTGATGAACGACTAAACAGTATCGCCATATTGAACATCAAATCGGACATTACAAAAAGTTTAAAGTAGGATGATATAATCAATGAGTTTAGTTCATTTATACTCGAAAAAAAAAATTGTAAATATTTATTGTTTTGTAATTAAAGTGGATACCTAAATACTAAACCTATTTTTTATTATTTAGTTTATTCAGTTTATTATTAGTTTGAAATCTGCTTTCTTTTTTTTATTAATTTTTGTTCTAAAAAAGATAACGATAACGGGTGGTCACCGGAAAGTAAGCTCTGACGCGCTCGGAAGGAGGAAAAAGTAAAATAATTTTTTTTTTCGTTGTGTAAGGGGAGGGTGGAAAAATATTATTACATTCGGGCGCCAAATTTCTGAATAGGTCTTTGATTGATAATGTAACATACAATTATATTATATTTGTATAACGCAATAACATAATTATTATAATTCATTCACTCGCTTACGCCTACCTTTGACTATTTCAACACCCTATTGATATACGATTATATTATCATCAACAAACCTTTTGACAACGGGGTTGAATTTACCAACGAAATAATAATTATTTTAATAAATATCTGTCTTGGTACGCGTGCGACGTGCGTATTTTTTATTCCCGTTTTGGTAGTTTTTCTTGTCGTAGCGTATTCGTTAATGACAATGTGATACTGATAATATATACATAACAGTATTTGCCATAAAAATAATTACAACAATAAAATTCGAATTTCTCGTCTTTTATGTATACGGCAACGGGTGTGTAGACGAGGTATATTTCATCGATACCAAAATCCCCAGGGAAATAATATACATTTATTCTAAAAAAAAAAATAAAATAATAATAAATGGTTTTTTATATAATATACAGTTATAAGTTGTATAATATACAATTTATAAGATCGTTTTATTTTTAAAAAAAGTTTTAAAAATCGTGTACGATTTAGATTTTATCTATATCTACGTCGACTATTTTTTTTTTTTTTTATTAAATAGCATTCATTATTTAATCTACCCTTCGAAAATAAAATGACTTGACGATATATTAGGTATTATATATTGTTGGGTCGATAAATACGAAAAATTACGATAAGATAACATAAAGTTAGTTTTAAGGTCCGCTTTTTTTATTTGCAGATAAATTGCGCAAACATAATTAACCTAATAGGTCAAATTATAAATAGGTATAAGTATGATATTAGGATTTATTTAATCTCAAGCCAGTGGATTGCTCAATATTATCTATACCAGTATTTTCCAACGTAGGGAGCATTTATTATGTTATTTTTATTTTAGAATGTAGGAAAAAAATGAAAAAAAAATAACGAGTTACCGAATATCGATAAAGATTACGAAAATGGCCTACATTTATATAGGGACGACAGGGGGCAGTTGTCCGGGTGACTGGGTTGAAAATATAGCTTAAAGTTTTATAAAAGAAGAATGTTTTTAAAGATTTATTTGCTTATCAGCCTTTATACGAATATTATATTATGTCCTAATTATGAGTGTTAAGCGGTTGTGAGTGTTACGATTAATCGATACGATGATGCCAACGAATTTATTAGAGGAGAGGAGAACGAGATTTTTGAAAATCTACAAAGAAAGCTTAGAATAAAAAAAAGTGGAAACCACGAATCTACATCTCCGAAGATTTCGAGTTAATTTTCGATTTCTTATTTTTTTTTCTAATAGTCATCAGTGTTTGTTCATCACTATTATTATTACCGTTATTAGAGAATCGTTGAACGGTCTTATTTACAGTGTTTTTAAAATGTTGTCCTCATTTCGTATGAATTAAATATCACCCATTAGGAAGCATCGATTTTTGGTTTTCGAATAACTACTCATATTTTATATTCTGAACGGAACGAGTAATCTATTGGTTTTATAATGATTTATTTATATAACTAGTAAATGAATACCACATCTTTTCTTCAAAATAAACACTGACCTAGTTATATAATATGTTTAATATTAAATAAATATTATCATTAAAAGTCTATACGTGAATTGGCCCAAATAACCTGTTACTCGTAAAACATAAAAACATAAATACAAATATAAAATAAAATATTACATTTTTTGTTCAATTGATCTAAATAAAAATTAATCATAAAAAATCGTTTCAGGAAGAATTCGCTCAACTCTTCAGACAGTTGGAAACGCTCAAAGACAAAAATCTGAGGCTGGGCAACCGACAACTGGTCGACAAGATATCGGCGATGCAGGACGTCAGCAAGCGGGGCGTGTGGTCGACGAACGTGGACAAGAAACAGACCCTCGTTGGCGGCAGTGGTGGTTACGCGTTCGCCAACAACCACAACCACGGTTGCCATGGTCACCCGCTGGGTGGTAGTCAAAAGTCGCTGGTTGTCAATCAAAATGGCAAAAAACCGTTCGTGAAAGAGGTGACGGTGTAACCTTTCAAGTCTGTGTTCTCGGTGTCACGCGTCTACTGTCTGAAACCACCTGGCTGATTGCTACGGTGGCTGCTTTCACTCTCAAAAGAATCGGGTCCGAAAAACGGAAAACACTCTACTATCACTTATCTCGGCCAGCTAACGGGCGCGATAAAAAATAACAAAAACAAAAAAAAAAAATGTTTCGGCTCACGTGTATACCTACCTATTATGAGAAATAATTTTTGAAAAAACCATTTTAATTTCAACAAAATATCTTAATGTCATGTTAAATTTGTAATTCGCGTTCACTGTGTGCATAATATTATATTATTATTATAACATACCGCTTGGCACTCGTTATTATTGAAATTTGATACCATCGGTTTTATGTATTTTTCATTTTTTTTTTTTTTTTGTAATTTCCCTGTACTCGCGTGTTGCACCGTAACATAATTATAATGGCTGCAGTATTGATTTTATTATTGTTACCATTTTTTATTATTATTCTGTATGTCCCTAAATAATCGATTTAATTTGATAAGCTATATTTTTACGTTAAATCGGCTCGATAATACAATCGGCCAACCTATTCGTATACTTCGATTACCTAAACCTTGTTTTCTAGATGAAATGAAGAAATAGTAAATTGAATATATAATTCATATTTTATATTCTGGAACATATTATTCAAACATATCGGACACATTGAGCGAACTAAGTTTACGGTAGATTCAACGCCATCCTGTCAGGAGAAATATATGTACACAATAGAAAATATTTTTAAGAGTACCCATCATGAAGACTCGAGTAAAATTTATTTGGGCTTTTTTTGGTTACTTCATTGTAGGATTGTTGAATGATCTTCATTATTACGCAGGGCGTTTTTTTTTTTTTTTTTAGTTGTACCCTTGTTTCGTTCACTGTAAGCACATATCAACTTTTGACTTACTAAAAACCTATTCACTGTTTCTAATAAAATTTGAAAAGAGATATATGTTTTTCAAATTTGTGTTGAAAAATAGGGGTTGTTATATGAAAATCAAACGTTAATATTCGTTTAAGATACAAGTAGTGAATGAATGGAGATTTTAAATTTAAAACTTAAAAAAATACATTATGGTTGAAAAACAAAAACAAAAACAAACATTAAATTTACCTTAAATCCCACTAGAAAATCGCTGAATTGTAAAAAAAAATCCCCTTTGTAAAACACGTCAGCTATGTCGTTAGAAAATGTTCAGTTTTTATATAAATTTAAACAACCCGATCGCTAAAGGTTTCGCTCCTGCGGTCTTTGATAAGTCTGCTGCACCATATACTCGAGTCCGTCAATATTGTAATGTCGTTTGAAGGATAATAATTTCATAAATAATAACTGCATTTAAATCGAATAATTATTAAAGGCCACGTTGCAAAAGGCGGTTTTCTTATGTTTGCGATTGATAAACCTTTCGAATTCATCATACTGTAATATCATACCAACCGATATTGCTTTGAAATGACTAGTTTGGAATGTACTTCTACGCCGTATGAACTTCAAACGGTTCTCGTAAATAAACACTTTGGAGTTTCAAACACTTTTAGTCGTAGGTATTATACATTTAGTTTCTAAATCGATGATAATGCGTATCGAACGGTAAAGAAGTTGGTGACTTTGTAGTAATATATAGTCACCTTGGTTACATATCTTTAAGTATAGCCGTATAAGCACGCTCAAGACAATCCCTGACCGCTAAAAATTCATTATACAAATCGCTGAAGTCGTCCACGCGTAAAAGTCACGCGTTATTTTGCTCGAAACTTTAATTTTACTCGGAATATCCCACCTTATACATAGTATGATCACGTTTTCAGGTAACACTGAAATGATGGCTAAATTAAATTTTAAAACCGTTTTCGGGGGGTAAAACGGTGGATTGAAATACAAAATACATGTTAAATTTTAACTATGTAAACCATCTCACGCAATACAAATTACTTTTGTTGAACAGCTACACCATTTTTTGGCACTAGTTTAGAATCGTCCTAATTCATATAGTTCTATTTATTTTAATCGACTTTGATCAAAATTATATTTTATCTCAAAAATTACCTAAAAATGGGTAACACAATCAATTTAAAAATCCATATTTTCAACCAACTTTTATTGGTTATACCTCAGGTACTTATGAAAAGAAAAAAATATACATCTAAATATACTAAATTTATTCGTCGTCTATCCCATCCGAAAATCCGAATGTGTTATACATTCGGGATATGCACGTGCTTAAATAATAACAAATCTAACGTTTGATCGGAAATCAATCGGTTTTATACTATGGGAAACAAGAATACGATTTTTCACTCGGGGACTTGGCTCACATTGTTTTACAATACGTTTTTCCCTGAAAAAAATTTCGATTGAAATATGCATTGTTAAAAAATACGAATTCCGAAAAAATTAATAGGATATGAATATTCAATAGAACCCGAAGAAATTGTTTTCCACATTATACTAGTTTGTTTTAGTTAAAAAAAAAAAAAAACGAAAATATTAATTATAAAAAATAATTTGCAACAATTTTGTATCGGAAGCGGAACGTGTAGTTTTATTCTAAAGTTATGCGCAGGGAATAGTTTGAAATTAAAAATTAACCATTACATCCCATTAGGTACCCTTTAAAAAATGTAAAATTCGCTAAAAATTATTTAACTAGACATTCCAATTATAATATTTGAATATATAAATTATTGTTCCCTCGCCCCTACGTCCGTCATGTGGATGAAAGTCACGGTATATTACGAATTTGTATTTTTCCTCTAGTATTTACTACAATTTCGTTAAAACATACTGCCGTACGATTACCTATTTCCGGGCAATACTTTTATGTTTAAATATTTTTTCAGTCGTAGATTTGAATGGTGATACTTTTTATTTTAATTATTATTGCGGTAGTCAATATGAACGCACAGAAAATAGTAGAACCCTACGTAATCGAATTTGTATACTGTTATATCACTTGTCTTCAAACCATTCGGCACAATGTTCATGCACCGTCGTAATAACATACGAGATAATATTATTATGTAATATTGTAAAGTTACTAAAATATCTGTAACCCCAAATTTCAATAGGATAGGGTTATACTCAAACATTTTAAGTTCCCGTTACAACATTAAAATAATTACTGTCAAGTTATATATAACTATTTTATAGTTTCCGCAATTTACGTTCGCTTAACTAAGTTAGATGCCTATACGTTACAATAACAAGTTTATGCAATTTAATTTTAAGTAAAATAAATGTTTCTCTTGCAACCGTTATGAACGAACGTAAGGTATTTGTATGACCAAATGTAACAAAACAAAACAAAAAAAATGTAACCTTTAATTTTGATTTGTTACATTTGTCACAAGTTAGAACAGAAAAAATTGTGTTTACAGTGGCCATACTTATAAAATTTAACCGAAACACGCATGAATCTCTTATAAATTGTGTAACTTTTTAAAACATTGCCCAAACGAATTGGCCAGGAACATAATAATATTATATTTGTACATTACGTGGTTGTTTAGTTCCGAATATTCCAAAAAGCATTAGTAATGACTATAATATATTCCGTTTTGATTCATGTAATTTTCTATACACTGCAAGCCATTTACTACGAATTAGCGGTTATCTCGGAGGATTTTTAGTGAATATTATTTTTGTTTGTTTAATCGTTATGGAATCATTTAAGCTTTATTTCGCACGCTTAATCTTACTCTATATTGTCTTAAATATCTAATTATAAACATTTTGGTTTGCATATAACTGAAATATTTGATTTACTATTTATAAGTAGTGACAGTTTGAAAATGAGATCAGTGAAGTAGGAAAGGGTTATTAATTTATTATCTAAACACATATATTAAATTGATTACCTTTTCTTGTGCCTTCGTTTTAATGTTCACTGTTACAACTCATAAACGGTAAATCTGACATAATAGTGATACGTTAATACTATTGTTTAATAAATAGTTAAGATAAATATTCTCTGTTTGAAACTGTATTCAATATGGAGTGTGTGGTCCTCAAAATCGAAAGCGATGCGATGATACACAGTGATGGTTTAAGGTGTACTGAGTAAAAATGTAAACAAATTGAAAATATTGTAAAATAATAAAGCTTCAGCATTATTATATAACGATTTTAAAAATCAGAAATCCTACTCACTTGAAATCCTCCAAGAAAATAGCCAATCGGTAATAAATAAACATTGTATAAAAAAAAATCAAAATAAACCTATGTATATTTTTTAATTTTATGGCTGTTTAAGTACAAGTGTAATTATTTATTTCGTTGAGTTTAATCTGTTAACTGTGTATTTTTAAAAATATACAATTTTGATTTAGAAAATAATTATAATAATATTGCACAAAAATTAAATAAGCTCGAATCAGGGTAACAAAGATTTCGCGTTTATGATATTATCATAATATTCTGGATGCATTTTTTTCTTCTATTTTAACTTTAATGGGGCGGTGTGAACTGCGTGGACAGTTCTACTATCCGTTCGACAATAATAAACTAGATAATTATAATAGGTAATAGTATTATGTATAGCCAATGTACAAACTATCTAGATAATATTGTAATCTAAAACATAATCTAGACAACAACATGTGAATAAAACTATAGAGTATATAAAGGCACCCTAAATTATACAATATGAAGTGAAAATGGAAGCGAAACAGTGTAGGCGAACTGTAGAAAATATTACATTATTCTGTGTTAAGTGTAATATGTATTGAATTAAATTTATTTTACTTATTATAAATGTCATTGCTTTAATAAATTAATATTTTCAGCACGTATTTGTTACTATTAGTATAATTATTTTAAAATTGAATTGTAACAATTAAACTAATAATATTATGAAACATTTTTATATTAAAATATATGTTTTAACGGATTTCAAATATGTTCAAATAATTATTTATTTTAAAGCTATACATTGACGAATGGAATAGATTATTTATGTCTAGAACTTAGGAACAACAGTCACCTTCTTTCAACTACAGTAAATAAAATAAAGTTTATTCGTTAATAATAAGTAATACTTAACTAAGTACCTATTAATTATAAACAAAATAATACTACTGATATTAGCGCTGTTTTTCATCTACACAGTCAGTTATTGTAAACAAAGTCCGACATGTTTTACTTCATATTATTTATAGTACTCTTCATAATTTGATATGACGCCTCTGTATACTCTATAAGTGAAACAAAAAATTTATTTAGCAAATACATAGATAATAGATACCTATCAGGTATACCGTATCATCACTATCACGCTGTAATCGTGATAATTATTTACAGCATAATACCTATAATATTTCAAATATTTAATATGTATTGAATCCGATTAATGACCTACGTTCTTATATACATATTTGTATAGTTATTTTAATATATTATATAATCTTTTTTTGGATATCGAGATAACTGAAAATCATCTTTTATCTTTATCTTAGATATATTTTTAGTCTTTATCTCAATATTTTGTATGCCTAGATACAATTATTCGTTATAATATTGGCTAAGACAGTTTATAGTGTTTTAGTAGCTAGTACTGTATGTCAAACGGGAAGATTTATACTTTTCAATGAAATTTAGTACCTAATAATCGTCATTAATATGAGACTATGATGCGTACCTTTTAGTGTTTAAGTTTTTAATCTGTTTCCCGTTTCGACTGTAAGCGACAAAAAAAAAAGTCATATGTTACTGTTAATTTTTCTTTGTTTCGTTGATAACAATATATTAAAATTTTTGGTCTGTGATAAATTCAACATTTTGTATAATGATTATTTTTATTCATAATTAATTCATTAATAATTTTCATACCTATGGGTATTTTATATTATTGAAAATGTTCAAAAGTACAATTTTATAACTTACCGCAAAACGTTTTGTAATTATTATTAATTTATTATATTATCAGTATTAATATTGTAGAGTGTAGCCGAAAATTTTCGATTTACGATGGTTTTAGAAAACAAAAAAAAAAAAAATCGATAAAATAATAAATTGATTATTAGGGAACGGATTTATATACACTTAAAACCTACAAAAGAATAGAGCTTAAAAACGTAGAAAAAGCTCTGAAAATAACTTAAAAAATATTATAAACTGCTCTAATATTTTTGTCGTTTAAAATATTTTTTTAAGTGCTTTAAGTCCTTTTTGTTGATTCTTAAGTGTATAAAAATCTGTTTCCTAGTCATCGTTGACAAACAAGATAAAAATTAACCACGAGGCCTACTGCGATTCCCGCGTAGAACAATATTTGCATGTAATGAAAACATTCATTCAAAATATATATATATATCAATAACAGTCTTCATATCATATTTAATATTATTTTAATCACCACTATTTTATTTTATTGAATATTTTCGTATACAATTTTAGAAACTTCAAACATAATATTATTGTATTCTATTTTTCCAAAATAATAAATCCATAAGTTTGTAGATACAACACAATAATATTAATTAACGACATGCTTAGATGACTAAGAGTATAATAGTTCATTTTTTTAATAATACAAATATGTTGTAGTACAAAAATGCATAGATTATATACCGGTTATTTCTTGATAATATTAGAGCTTAAATAAACGGAATAAGGCGATTGGCGGTTAAACATTCATGGATTCTGGTATTCTAATATTTTCGGTGTCCATATTCACCTCCCCAACTAACCGATAAAGACAATAGCTATCAGATTCAGCCCACATATAAAAAAAAAAAAAACAATGTTGCGATATCGTTAAAGTTTCGTTAATTATTGCATCGATGATCCGTAAAAGGATTGAAGATATGTATAAGCAGAATGTTATTATTTGAGGCGCTTATGTAGTATGTACGGTTTTTATTTATTTTATTCATTATTGTTCGTAATCTCTAGTAAATGATCAATTTTTAAGGTTTTTTTAAACTCATTTTTTTTAGTTTTAATATGAATGATTTGTGCACAAATTATGCAATTGAAGGATATATACAAGTTTTTATTTTATTAATTCTTTAAGCAGTGCAATTAATTCCGTAACCGACTATCTGCAATACGAACGTAATCACAAGTTTTACATTTATTGATAATAATATTATAATTTTAAAATGTACACAGTGTGCTACGAAAATGATAATTACAATTAAAATAATAAGTGGGTATACTTATTAATTTTATTTCTGTTAGTTGTTTGTATTGTTTATTGACTTTCTGTTATATTATTGATAATTTTTTTTATCGTTTTCAAATAATTATTATAATAATATGTAATACAAATGGAATAAAATGAATAAATTAATACAAAAAAAAAAAAGCTGTTTCTATTGGCCATCATCATTTATTCAATATTAAACCTGTTAGATAAATTATATTTCGTTAACAAATATTATATTATCTAAATAATACTTACCTGCATTGTTGTTAATTCACGTATAAAATATATTAATTTGTATAATTTTTTTTTTTTCAAATATATGTGAAAAAAAAATTATAACTTGTACCCGAAAATTACTTGTAAATATATGGAAATTCGAACGTAACGAGCGTAATGCACCGTAAATAATAATCAATATTATGTGTTTATATAATTATTGTAAATAAATTAAAATTATGTATGTTCAAATTTGTTTTCGTTTTGATTGTGTTATTTTTCAAGTATTAATATTGTTTTCTTGGGAAACTACGTACAAGAATTTGCGAACAAGAACGTTAGTTCAAAATCCATGTAAAATCTAGATATTCATTAAACATACAGTTTTAGATCCCACAGAAAAGAATTTGTTATGATGTGTTCGGTTTTTCTCTATGTCTGCTGATATGATTTACACATACGACTTTGTTTAATAAAAAAAATAAGAAAAGAAAAGAGGTGTTGATTTATTTAGCGCATTCGGCGAAAAGTCGTTTTTTTTTTCTTTAAATTCCTTGTAACTCTTGATTTAATTTCGGTTACACCGGACAGATGAAAATTCGAAAACATCTTTGCGCCGATTATTTTTACCAAGTGAGGGGGCAATAAAACAAATTTTCAAGACACCCAGTTAACCCAATTTAGATTTCATTTCTTTTACCAATTTCCTATCAACAACAGTATGAAAAACTGAGGAAGAATATATAATATAGGTTCTTCTTAGAGTGCAAAATATGCTCAGTGATCAGAACTTGAATTTATACAAATTACACGTTTTCGGGTTTTTAAACATTTTACAATTTTAATTTCGTTATTGCGTATTCGGACATTATTTTAAATTTTCCATTTAACCTTATTATGTTTTTAAACGTTATTTTAATCTTATGTTTTCTGTTAAGATGTTGTTTAACATTATAAATAAATTTGAAATTCTACAATTTTTTTTAAATAAATTCCATTGTCATTTTTCACATAGATCGATACAAAATATAATATACGTTTTTTTTTTTTAAAAAAACATCAACAAATAATAAATCAATAACTTACTAATTATTATTGTAATTTGTCTTATTTAGCTTGAAATGTAGGAAAATTCATCACAATTGTAATCACAACTGATTTTTTGTAGATTGTAATATTTTAAATTAAAATTATTTTTACACAAGTATGATAATTCTATTATAAAAATAATGAAAAGTGAAATTAATTAATTATAAGGAATAAATATCTAATTAATATTACGAAATAAAGATAAACTACTGGTTAGAGTACCTATACGCCGGTCAACGAGAAAACGCAACTGGGTGGCGACCAAAATCCGTCTTTTTTCGCGTGTTCACCACCGGTCACTGCGTAATGAGCGGGAGAATTTGATTACGAAACCGCGGAGCTCGTTCATTTGGACGAGTTTGCGTTTTCTTGGTGGCCGGAGAAAAGACGAAATATCGGTAGTACAAACGATGGAATGGACAGGTAAACGATAGATATTCAAATGTCCACATCTGCCAATACATAATACAATTTGAAATGGTATATTTATTGTTTACAACAAACCGCATCAATTATAGTGAACGAAAACCTAACATAATCAAAGTCGAGTTCACACGAAGTTAGTCAGTCGTAATTACTCCACAATGCCAGAGTAATCTCGCCCAGTTCAGTACACTGTGTGAACTGTACCTTTTTATATTTAACCAAAACAAATCGGCAATAAAATATTTCTGCTAATATAATGTACTACTAACACAGGTTAGTCAACTTTAAATTGTTAATACTTATTATATTAAGTTGCACGTGTATATAAAAGAAAAAGCACACACTTTATTCAAAATAACGTTATTTTCAATTTTTTTCTTTTCATATTACAGTTACGTTTATTGCTTATCGTTAATCACTAATTTTATTATGATTATGATATATATTATAATGTTTAGTGGTATTCGATTTATTCCATTTTCCGTTTGTTAATTTCATCAATTTTTTTTTTTTTTTTTTTGTTAAATCGTTATAAATAACGTTTTGAAGCCTTGCTAATAATTAAGTAAATTTATAAACATTTACGCGGTGATTTTTGTTTTTTTTTTTTTTTTAACTCCGCTACCATGTTTTATTATCAGAGAACATTGTTTTTAAATTTTAAAAAAAAGCATTTACATTTGTTATGTTTAAATTTACTTTTAATATCTCGTTATTGAAGAAAGTCTAATTAAACTGTATGAAAAAAACCAGAACTTTAATAAAAAAAGGTCTCGTTTTTTTCTGCGTTAAATCGAATTTGAATGTAAACACGATTTTAAGGTAAAATTATTAAAAAGTTTATTTCCAGTTTGTTGTTTTAGAGTTTTAGATGACAAGTTACAGAAAGTAATCTAGTGGAAGCTTAAATCGATCTTTTTAACCGTCGAATGGTAAAAAAAAAAAAAAACAAAATTATTTTAAAATTTCGTTCACAATTTAATTGTACTGTTGCCTAACACGATGTAAATAAATAAATAAATTACAAAATACAACAATAAAGACGGTCTTATAATGGTAAAACGTTGTTATTCGTTTCAAACGAGAGTTGGAATTTAATAATGTAAAAAAACTTTATACCTACATATTCTACAAATAATTTTCTCGAGATATACATTGAGTAATAGGTATTTAGGTATTTCGTCTCCACTTTTATTATCATTGATCAGTTTTTTTCGCCCTCTTTTATTAAATTATTCCCCGGGAATCTCTTGTCTTCGGGTAATTTTTTAATTAGTTCGTTGGAAAATTACATATTTTTTTTTTTTATTTCAGACTTCAAACGGTATTCGAATGGATTATATCTTTCTGTATACAGCTCTAGGTGCTTTCATCTCAGTACACCCGTTTTACAATTATTTGTCCGTTTGTAACTCGGTGACCAGACAGTAAATTGTATTGCGTATTACAAAAACCAATAACGTAGATTTGTATTTATTTTCATCCGAAGGACAGTATTCGATCGTTATATCAAAATGGCCGTATGACATTGTTTTTAGAAAAATGTTATTCCTGGATAATCCACCTATGTATTCGTCCATGACTTACCGATTGCTTGATTTTTCCAATCAATTAAATTTTTTATCTGAAATATGAATTAAGGATTTTATGAAATTAATGCATACAAAGTATGTTTAGGGATAATTCAAATTGTGCAGTTTATTTTAGATAGGTATAGGATATTTTGAATAAATAATAACATATTAATTTAATTTTGTATGTAATATGCTTTTTTGGGGAATTTGAAAGTTGTGGTTATAGCTGTTTCTACGGTGAATTTTCAGATAGGTTCTCGAAGGATATAACTATGGCAATAAACTTTTGCATATTTTTGTTATTCGTTCAAAACAAATAGCTGATATATACCAAAATGCGGTTATACCTAAATCAACGTCCGTACCGGTATAACATAAAACTGCAACACGTTTGGGTAACATGTTTGAGAATAAAACCGACGATTAGCCAACTATTGGTGATTTGGTATGACATCAAAGGATGTTATTATGGAACACCTAAAAAGAATTATATATATAAAAAAAAAAAATGATGTTTGGGTTTATTTTTTGGGTAGCCGTATTCTTATGACTCGTGCATCTGGCAAATATTTGGCGTTCTTCTATCTTCATGTATCATCACAAGTCATAAGAATGCGAATGGTATGTTTACATCACTCGACACCTTCTTGTAGATTTTCGGTAAAATTGACACTAGTAAAAGAGATTGTTATCAATAAAAAATTTGTGGTATCATTCCCGATATATTCGCCCATAGGTTTTTTATTGTTTTCATTTTATCATCTATCAGTGTTATAGATTATCAATTTTAGTGTACATAAAAATAATACTTACTATATTTACAGTATTATATTAGAAATTTAATAGTAATAATTTAAGTTAGTTTTCGTATTGATGTATAACAGTGTACATATTATAATATTAATTATTATGGAATGAACAAACTTATAAAGCTATTTCCAGCAGCTAAAATTTCTAACAATATAGATAATTTTTCTTTACTGGAATAGATTTTCTTATTGTGATATCAATCTTCACAACAAATGGACCATAATTATTGAGAAGGTATTCAAAGTCTGCGATAGACATTCAAATAAATAAAGAAAAGTTTTCGAACTTTCCAATAGGTTGTTGTAGTAAATCTTCAAACATATCTGAACCATTAAACCTACGAGTTTAAAATTAATTTTATAATTTCAACTTTTCAAGCACAATTTCTTATTGTTTGTGAAACTTACATTTCGTACATTTCACCATTTTCCCTTCGTTTTTTCCGGGATTTTCCCATTTACTGTGAAAAATCCTCGGAAAATTAATAAATAACTTCCATAAAGTACCTTTCCAGTCAAATTTCCTCTTAAAAAAGTTCTATTATTGTAAATCGAAGAAAAATTGCTTGTGGAAAATTTGCTCACAGGAAAAAAAAGTCGTATTACTTAACTTATACATTTCTTAAATTTTCCCGTTTTCCTCAGTTTTTTCGGTTTTTAATATTTGATCAAAAAACCCCAGAGAAAATTGAAAAATTACTTTTTTAAAGTACTTATCTACGCCGATTTCCTTTCAGAAAAAGTGCTACAAATAAAAATCGGAGCAAGATCTCTGGTAGAAAAGTTGTCCACAGAACAAAAAAAAATAAACATCTTTGTAAAATCATAAGCTTCTTCGCTCCACTCAGAATCTAAAAAATGACAAGCAGTATCTGGAGTCAATTTTTACGGTCTGACATGAAATTTGGTCCGAATACACCGGCAGTTCGTCCTTGTCTACTTTTGTTAATTGAATTAAATTAAATTAAAGTTAATTAAATTGGCTAGTTTGGTTAAAAAAATAATAATAACAATACAATTAACGGACGCTCCGATCCGGTTTTGGTCCTTTGTAAAAATGTTATCAGTTCTTGTCCATAAAAAAAGACAGAGCATTAAAATGCCGTTTCTGGAT